GGGGGCTTGGAGGGAGGGAGGGGGACAGGGAGGGAGGGGGCTTGGAGGGAGGGAGGGGGACAGGGAGGGAGGGGGCTTGGAGGGAGGGAGGGGGCTGGGAAATGGGGTTGTGAGGGAGGGAGGGTGGGGGCGGGGAAGCAGTGGGGCTGGGAGGGAGGGTGGGGGTCTCGTCCTGTCTGGAAGGGTTGAGCCAAGGCCTTTGGGAGAGATACCTCCCCCCCTCCCGCCTGGTCCCTTCCCCGAAAGGAGGGATGGAGGGAGGGCAGCCAGAGGGGGGGGTTGGGGGGGCTGCATCTCTGGAGGGTGTTTTTTTTTAAAAAAAATAAGAGATGGGACAGCAGGTTGTTGGAAATGGGACAGAGGGTCTCTTCTGGCTTGGCTCCTCGGCTTAGGAGTTTTGAGTTGGGCTAGAACAGATGACCTCCAAAGTCCCTTCCAACCCTAGGTGTCTAGGATTCCATCAGATTGATAAGAGGGAGGGAAGGAGGGTGGGAGAAGAGGGGGGAAAGGAAGAAAGACGGGGAGCCGGAAGAAGGAAGGATGGAGGGGGAAGAAAGAGGGAAGGAGGCTGAGGGAGGGGGAAGGAAGGAAGGAAGGGAAGGAAGGAAGGAAGGAAGGAAGGAAGGAAGGAAGGAAGGAAGGAAGGAAGGAAGGAAGGAAGGAACACCTTGTCTCCAAACGTTGTGGGTGCTTTCAAGAAGAGATTGGACAGCCATGTGTCCCCAATGGAACAGGGTCTCCTAAATGAGCAGGGGATTGACTAGACGACCTTCATGGTCCCTTCCAGCCCTAGGTCACTATGTAGCTATTATTCTCTGAGGTAAATTAGATAAGATATATAAGAGAGGAAGGGAGAGACAGATGTGAAACAAAAAGTCTGCAAGAAAACCACCCAACCTCATGGCTCATCGGTTTTCCGGCAAACCTCCTATCACCTCTCCGAGGCTGTTTTTCTTTCTCTTGGTAGTTTTTCTTTCTTTATCTTCTTTCCTCAACTGCACGGGGTGTTCTAATCTTGGTTTGCGGGTCCCCAAAAAACATTTATTTTTATTTGTGAAACTCCTTCCTGATTTCCCTTTCTTCCCTTAAACGACCCTCCTTTGTTTTTCCAGCATAGCTTCCTTCCTTCCTTCCTTCCTTCCTTCCTTCCTTCTTTTCTTCTTTCTGTATTTATTTGTTTACTTATGTATTTATTTGTACAAACCCCAGACCTTTTCCTTCAACAGAAATATAAGGGTGCAAGTTGTCCTCACTGCAGTTCTTCTCTTTTAATATTAAGCGTGATCTTTTTTTTTCACACTTTTACTTTCATAATGAGTAATAAGCCCTCCTTGGTTTGCTAACCCAGTGGTTTTATAAACACCCCTCTTAGATTCTTAGGGGAGGCACTCCTTGGCTTACGACTAATGGCTTAGTGACAAGGGTTTCAACAGACCCTCTATCCCCCCCCCCCCAAAAAAAAGATATTTATGCCCCAAATTTAAAGTTCCGACAGCCAGGACAGAATCCTCTGGCAACATAACAAATCTTAGCTAATTTTTTAAAAAGCTAAATATAATAAGTATGGATGAGAGACCACTAAGAAATCCCAGGATTCCGAGGGGGATTGGAAATATACACAGTCCTTGATTTACAAGGTTTTGAGTAGTGACCATTTGATTTTACATCTGAAAAAAGTGACTTAGGACCCGTTTTTCACATTTTTAGGACCATCGCAGCATCCGCATGGCCACATAAACCAAAATTCAGGTATTTGTCAACTGACTCATATTTATGATGGTTGTAGCGTCCCTGGGTCACGTGATCCCTTTTTACGACTTTCTGACAATGCGGGGGAAGCCAGATTCACGTAATAACTGTGTCACTAACTTAACAACTGGCAGTGATCCTCTTAACGACTGTGGCAAGAAAGCTGGTAAAAATGGGTCAGAACTCCCTGAAATCTCTCACTTTGTAACAGGAATGGGGGGGGGGGGGTCACTAATGGTTGTAAGTTGAGCATTACTTTTGCTAACAGACTATACTGATTCTCTTTTCCAGCTAGGTTAGCACTTTCAGCTACACAAGTACTTGTGTACTTTTTACAGTTGTGGGTGTGATGTTTCTCTTCTCAGAGGGAAAACGGGGCAGCATTTTTTTTCAGTGTGAAGCATAATTGTACCTCTTGTACACTCTACGGCCATTTTGTAGGCCAAGGCTGGAGAATCTTTGGCCCTTTCATGATCTGTGAACTTCAGCTCCCAGAATTCCTGAGCCAGCATGGCTGGCTCAGGAATTCTGGGAGCTGAAGTTCACAGATCGTGAAAGGGCCATAGGCAAACCATATCCCTAGTTCAAGGATCTTCAAACTTGGCAAGTTTAAGACTTGTCGACTTCAACTCCCAGAATTCCTGAGCTAAGATGACTGGAGGAGGAATTCTGGGAGTTGAAGTCCACAAAGTCTTAAAGCTGTCAAGTTTGAAGACCCCTGCCCAAGTTTAACACTCTCTGGTTATACTGTCTATGCCTGCAGCCTTATCTTCTGGCACCATTTGGGACTTCTCTTGGCATATTTTTCCCTCTGGAAACTATACATTAAATGTGCTGAATGAAGTTAAAATAATCATTTAATAGTAGTAGTAGTAATTATTATTATTAAAACATAGATATTAAGATCAAAACTTTCCATCAATCTTTAAGTGCAAATCCAAACAGCTTACTACAGAATCTATACGCACCCATTAAAACGTGTTCAGGTATTCGACTTACGACGGCAACGGAGCCCAACATTTAGGTTGCAAAGTGAGACCTTTGTTGAAGTGAGCTTTGCCACCTATCTTGACACAATTGTTAAGTGAAATATTGCAGTTGTTAAGTTAGTAACATGGTTGTTAAATGACTCTGGCTCGTATTAATCATATTTGTTTTATTTAACAAGCTTATATAATTCTGGTAATAATACACATTTTTATTAAAGTATAATCTTTCATTATTTAGTTATTCAACATTTCAATGTGTTATTTTGATGCCAATCACCCTATTCTAAGTGTCATGCCTTTTAATACAAATAGAATATTATTTATTATATTTAGCAAGCTTATATAATTTTATTTTTAATTAGACTATCCGTGACCCCCTGAGTTACAGTTTTGGAGCTATTTCCTTGCCCTCCCTGGGACAAAGGCAGAGTTTCAAAATCAAAAGAGATAATTCGGAATGAAATGCATTCATTCGTAAGAGTGATATGTTTGTTTTGTGAAATTTATTTGCAATATTGATTGATTGGCAAAATGGATTTTTTTTTGTTGCAAAATGTACTTGCTTATTTATTAAAGTGATGTGTTTATTTGTGGGATGTATTTATTTGTTGATTTGTTGATTGACAACCCTGCAGCCAATGGTGATGCCATAAAGGCAGGCACCGAGCTTGCAAAATCCCGCGGGTCAAGAAAGGGAAACCACGCAGAGAAAAGACGAGAAAACAGCTGCCAGCCTCAACATCTGAAGCAGCGACCGGGAAGCGGGAGAGACGGGAGAACTACAATTCCCAGCAACCCTCGCGAGCCGGCTCTGGGATTCCTGTCTCTCCCGGCGAGGCCCGGAGACCGCTGGGACTTGTAGTCCGGTTGACGGAGTCATGGAGCCGATGACCGCCGGTGGCTCTTTCCTGGGCGAGATCGGTGAGCCGGGAGCGCCTTGCAAGCCGATATTGCGGGGAGGGAGCCCGGCAGGTTGCGGAGGAGCGAGGGGGGGTCTCGCTCCCCCCGTAGGAATCGTCGCCGGGTGTAAAACTCAGCCTTTTCATGCTGCTAGACCTCAGTGGGGCTCTCGAGCGTTGCAGTGGTGCATTCGTTCTATTACGGTGCAAATTTGACAGGGCGGGTGGGTGCAGAAAAGCGTAGAGCCTCCACCCTCTCCTGCTTTTGACGTGGCTTTCAAGCTGCGTTTCCACACAACCTGCTAATCCTGGTTACTAAACTAACCCTTTTTTTTGGAGGGGGTCGCCAGGGGGGTGGGTAGATCACCAGCTGGCCCAAGCTCTCCCCCCCCCATTCCACCTCAAAGCGAGCCCCCTCGTCTCCCCGCAAACGAAAATCCACGCTCCCGAGTTTAAACGTGTCGTGTGAATGCTCGGAGGGACGCGTGTCGCCCGCTGTTTATCCGCTCTTGACCTGGAAAAGGGGTCACGAGGTGCGGTTCTTGGAAAGCCAAAACAAAAACAACAACAAAAAAAGCACCCGGTCAGCTGAGCCAAAAATGCCCAGGAATCCCGAGGGGGCTCCAATTGCAACTTGGCAAACTTGGGTTGATCCCAGGTCGACCCGGGTTGCAAAAAAAGAAAATTAAAAAAAAGAGAGACGGTTTTAGGTTATTTAGAGTCTGTGGGAAGGGGGGGCTGACACTTTTTTATTTATTTATTTTTTGCATGGGGGTGGGGGCATTTTTATTTTGTATTTTTTGGCGCAGGGGTTAGAAATGCTCCCATGCGCAGCAGCTCCCGAAGGGACAAGAAGATTCTGGAAGTGGAGAATGGAAGGTCTTTGCAAAGAGAGAGAGAGAGAGGGAGAGAGAAAGACGGTTTAGGGGTTCCTTAAAATCCTCCCCAAAGCTCCCCCAAAAGCAATGGGGGGACAGAAATAATTCCACTTATTCTGATCGCTCTTGGGAACGTTTGGGTGAATTCATGTAAAGCAGGTAGCCTGGATATTGTTCTCTAGTTGGGTCATGAAACGTCTGCAAGAAATGACCAAGTTCAGAGAGCACCTAGGACCCCTCACTCCTCCTCCTCCTCCTCTCCATGAACCCCACTCCCTTCTGTCGGTAGCATTGATGATGTTACGTAGCTGGGTCATGAAATGTCTGCAAGAAAACCACCAAGATCAGAGGGCACCCCCACTTTTTCTTCCTCCTCCTCCTCCTCCCCCCCTCCACAAACTCCACTCCATTCTAGAAACTGATGATGTTCGCTAGTTGGGTTATGAAAGGTCTTCAAGAAAACAACCAAGCTCAGATAGCACCAAGGGCCCTACAATCCTCCTCCTCCACCTTCTTTCACCTCCTTCACATACCCCCTCTCCCTTCTAGCACTGATGATGTTACCTAGCTGGGTCATGAAAAGACTGCAAAAAAACCACCAAGCTCAGAGAGCACCAAGGAATCCACGGTTGCTGTTTCTTCTTCCTCTTCCTCTTCTTCTCCTCCTCCTCCTCTTCCTCCTCCTTCTTCTACTCTTCTTTTTCCTCTTCTTTTTCCTCTTCTTTTTTCTCTTCTTCTTCTTCCTCTTCCTCTTCTTCTTTTTCTTCTTCTTCTTCCTCCTCCTTCTCCTCCTCCTCCTCTTCTTTTTCTTCTTCTCCTTTTTTTTCTTTTTCTTCTTCCTCTTCCTCTTCTTCTTTTCCTCCTCCTCCTCCTCCTTTTCTTCTTCCTCCTCCTTTTCTTCTTCTTCTTCCTCCTTCCTCCTTCCTCCTCTTCTTCCTCTTCCACTTCCTCCTCTTCTTCTTCCTCTTTCTCTTCATCTTCCTCTTCCTCCTCCTCTTCTTCCTCCTCCTTCTCCTTCCTCCTCCTCCTCTCCACAAATCCCATTCCCTTCTAGCACTGATGATGTTACCTAGTTGGGTCCTGAAACGTCTGAAAGAAAAAGACTGCAAATCTTCTCCTTTTTTGGTCATGACAGTTTTAAATGCGCATTTCACCCCCACCCCCCCCTCCATCTCCCTGTAGCGTTTTGGGCAGAGAGGACGCCGGTTCACGAAGCCGCCCGAGACGGGGAGGTCCGTCACCTCCAGGAGCTGATCGAGAACGGCGCCTGTGTCAACCTGGTCACCTACGACTCCATCACGCCCCTCCACGAAGCCAGCCTGCGTGGGCAGACGCGGTGTGTGGAGATGCTGCTGGCCGCAGGAGCCCAGGTGTGAAGGGAGGGGGGACCTGAAACCTCTGGAGAAAGGAGGCCAGCAAGCGTTTCGGTCGCCCCGAGGTTGATTTCCTGGGGGGTTTCGGGTGCAGGTTTCAGATTGGTCCCAGGCGGCCAGCTAGCCTTTGTAGGTGTGGTCCAAGGAACCTTCCTACCCTTGATCTCTTCTGTGAGATAGATAAGATACAGAGGGAGGGAGGGAGGGAGGAAAGAAATAGGGGAGAGAGGAAGAAAGGAGGGAGGGAGGGAGGAGGGGAGGGAGGGAGGGAGGGAGGAAGGAAGGAAGCAGGGGAGGAAGGGAGGGAGGAAGAAAAATAAGAATTATTTCTGTAAAGAAAGAGCAAAGTTAAATCTCAAGGAAGGAAAGAAGGAAGGAAGGAAGGAAGGAAGGAAGGAAGGAAGGAAGGAAGGAAGGAAAGAAGGAAGGAAGGAAGGAAGGAAGGAGGCTGAGGGAGTGGAAAGAGGAAGGAAGGAGAGAAATAGGGGAGGAAGGAAATAGGGGAGGGAGGGAAGGATGGATGGATGTAAGGAAGGAGGCTGAGCGAAGGAGTGGAGAGAGGAAGGAAGGAGAGAAATAGGGGAGGAAGGAATGAAGGATGAATGGAAGGAAGGAGAGAAATAGGGGAGGGAGGGAGGAAGGAAATGGAGGAGGAAGGGAGGAAGGAAATGGAAGAAGGGATGGAAGAAAGGAAGGAGAAATAGGGGAGGAAGGAAGGAGGCTGAGGGAAGGAGTGGAGAGAGGAAGGAAGGAGAGAAATAGGAGAGGAAGAAAGGAAGGGGAGGGAGGGAAGGACGGAAGGATGGATGGCAGGAAGGGAGGAAGGAAGGAAGGAGGCTTGGTGGGCGTGGTGTGGCAGGCGTGGCTTGGGCATGGCGTGGCTCGGTGGGCATGGCAGGAGAAGATTACTGCAAAATCCCCCTTCCCTCTCCACGCCTCTAACCTGCTTTCCAGCTCCGTTCTCCTGAGCAGGGCAACCAAAGGAGACCCAGCCAATCAGCTGGGACTCAACGGGAGGCAGAGAAGAGGTGGGATTGGCCGGTTCTCCGAACCACTCAACATTTACGCTACCGGTTCTCCAGAACCGGCTGAATACCCACCTCCGCTTCTCTCCTTTTCTGCCACAGGTGGACGCCAGAAACATCGATGGGAGCACCCCGCTCTGCGACGCTTGTGCCTCGGGGAGCATCGAGTGCGTGAAAGTCCTCCTCTCTCACGGGGCCAAGGTCAACCCGCCATTGTACATCGCCTCGCCCCTCCACGAAGCCTGTTTAAACGGTAAGGTGGCTTTTGCAGGGGTTAGTTGGGGTGGAGGAGCGGGACCACCCCGGAAGACCGGGAGGGTTTCTGCCCCCCCCACGGAATCCATGGGAAGGACTTTCGCGGATTCTGGATTCAAATTCAGACCAC